AAAGGAATGAAAAAAACAGGAAACACAAGTATTTTGGGAGAAACACTTTCAAGACTATTTAAATCACAAAACATGTAAATGGCTAAGTGTACTTATTATAATACAAAGACTCTCATAAGAGGTCTTTTTAATTTAGCTATTTGCTGCTTATAAGAGATCTGTCTAAACATACAGACATGCAAAGTATGGAAAGAAAGAGAAAATGTTTGGCGTAGCAGTATAATAACAAAATAGAATCTATGAGAAAGAAGTCTTAGCACCAATATAGAGGAAAACTCTAAAATATTATAAGGAAAATTTCATTCCAGACATAACATTCTTACCTGGTTGCATTTAACAACATAGCTTCGAAGCATGTAAAAAGCTGACAAAAATAGGGAAGACACTAACACTTGCTGACATTTCTCTGAAAGAATTAAAAATAATTGTGTCAAGCAAATAATAAGTGGGGATATGGAAAAATCAAACTTACACTTAAATATGCATATTATATCATATAAATATACACCATATTATATGTAATTAAGCTTTAGTTGCATATTACATACATTTCATACATAAAAATAATATACAAGTTACATACATGTTACATATAAAGTTATATACATATATATGTTCCATGTGTATGTGTGTATATAGATAAATCGATGGCTAGATCGTATATATTAAAGAGGAAACACATACATATGAAGTATTTATCAAGTTAATGCAACTCACAAAGAAATTCTCTGTTGATGGGGCACCTGGGTGGCTCAGTCGGTTAAGCGGCCGACTTCGGCTCAGGTCCTGATCTCGCGGTCTGTGAGTTCGAGCCCCGCGTCGGGCTCTGTGCTGACTGCTCGGATCCTGGAGCCTGTTTCAGATTCTGTGTCTCCCTCTCTCTCTCTGACCCTCCCCCGTTCATGCTCTGTCTCTCCCTGTCTCAAAAATAAATAAACGTTAAAAAGAAATTCTCTGTTGAAATATAGATGCCTTAATGACTACGTTCTCCGAACATACGATTTTAGGTGGACGAAGGGGAGGGGAAGAGACTATTTAAGGGAGAGAAAAACAACAAAATAACTGTTTCCATGATTATTTTACTTTTCAGTTTACCCAACATGGGAGTTGATTAGTCCAAAGATATAAGACACATGGAAGGCAGTCTAGTGTAGCAAAACAAACAATTAAAAACATTTATTTTTAAAAAGGAAAAATATACACGAATGGAGGGATATCACTGGTTAAACTGACCCAAACCAAGGGTTTGCAAGGCCAGCACATGTGTCTCAGACAGGCTTGCTGCTTTGTTTCCTGGTGTTTTCAGTCCCTGTTTGAGGGGAGGAAATTTCAACTGGGATGAGAATCTCCTGTCCTAGACCCAGAGGAGCAGTGTTTCAGCCCATGCCCCGAGAACGTCTGACTCTTGTGTGAAGGGATTTAGTTATAAGACTGATCATTTTCCAGGTCCAAAATAAAAAGAACCATGGCTTATGAGAGATAATAAATTTCCAACGCGGGGAAGCATCACACATCCTAAACAGGACTCTGTCATCCGCACGTGCCAGGTGCTCTTTTGTTCTGTGCCAAAAATCATACAGCCATTGTAATTCTGGGCCCTGTGACACCTACTTTGTGAAATAGAGGTGATCCAGCCTCTGCTACCGAGATCCCGGAAAGCAAAAAGGAAAGACTGCATGGCACCCCCTGGAGTGATACAACACGAGGGCCCTGGAAGTGATTTTCCGCTCAGGACGATAGTAAGAGTAACAAAAGCATTAAATAATAAGCAATATTTGACGAATATTATAGCCACTGTGCTCAGCATTTTATACACCTCGTGGCCTTTGATCTTTAAAGTCCTCAAAGCTCCTAAATGATAGATAGGGACACCGAGGCTCAGGACACCTTTGTTAGTTCTCCAAGTTGTACCGTTGGAAAAAGTACAAAAGCCAGATTCATGTTTAGACAGTATGGCCTCAGAGCCCTCCGTCTTGGTGACCACCTTCAATTCAGTCCAGTAAGGAGGGGTTATCTGATAACTACCTAACTTGGTAGGAGACTGTCTTGACAGAGTGTTCAAATGGAGCCTAGATTACCTTTTTGTCAGATATGCTGAGGAGGAGTTCCTGCTCCTCTATCCAGAGATAGCTGGATGTCTCCCAAGGCAGCTTCAAGTTCAGAACAAGTGGGGAAAATAGATATTCTCTAAAACTGATGAACTTAAGGAAAAAGCAAGACTGTAATTATGCGTAAGAGATGCTCCCGTACTGGACCAGGGCTGGGACTAGGAAGCGGTCAAGGAAACAAAGCAAATGAGAACATGGAATTATTAGCTTAGCCTGGATCCTTTGGCTCCTGCCTCCCCACAGATGATAGACCCTCCCTCCCGTATTTCTTCTCCTTTTGCTGCCTTGGGCAGATGTGGGGACCGTCTGTCATCACCATCAAGGCTCTTCTCTTTGTTGCCTTTGCCCTTACATCAACCTCTTACATCTACCTTTGCATCCATCTGGCTGTCCTGTCAGCCAGCCCGGCATGTCGATCAGTGGGTCCACAAGTCAAGAACAAAGTTCGGCTAGCAGACAGGCAGTCGGCAGAACCCTGTGCTGAAGTGTGGTGTTCAGAAGGAAATCTTCTCCTTGTGGTCTGTGGGCCTTTCATCCAAACATCTTGTTTGTGTGGGGCGGACAGGAAACCACAGAAAAGCAGAAAGACAGAAAGCGACTCATGTCAAAACCAGGGCTCACAGTGGTCCTGAAACCAGCGGTAGCAACAGCAGCATGAGGAATCTTTCTTGAACATTCCAGCAAGTTGGAGTAACGTGGAGAAATAGGGAACAACAGTGGCAGAAACAGAATCACTCCCGAGCCTTGATCGCAAAGGTTGGGATGTTCTTGTGAAAAGAAAAGAATCAAGGCACAGAGCCGAGAGAGGAAAGGACCAAAAGGGGTGCTCATTCAAAGAGAGTTGGAACACAAATAGCACATTTCGGAAGGTCTGAAGGAACTAAAATACAATGGCTGGGAGCAATGAAGGCACAGGGACCACCGCATCTCATGCCAAGGAAGCTGGCAAATTGGATGGCTGGTGGCATTCTTAGTAAGAGCAGCTAATGGATTATTAGGCTCTGAGGCCTCCGAGGCCAAGCTGCGGGTGTGACGGTCACTAAGTGAATCCACTGCCCCCGACACAGTCCCTGACATAGAATTGCCAGGCAAATAGTTGTTAAGAAATCAATCTTGAAATCTGGAGAAGCGAACCCTCTAGCACGTCCTGTATACTAATGAGTGATCACACTGCCTCACCGAAAGGCCACATTTCCTCCGGATTTCTTCCTGGGTTTAGCGATCTGTCTTGGGAGGCAAGCTGTATGAAAGGGACCCAGAGCACAGCGATTGGCCCTCGCTGCGGGCGCTCGAGTCATTGGGTTTCTGTCCTGATTTCCTCATCATTAACCCGGGGCACCCAGACCAGTTACTGAAATTCTGTGCTTCACTTTTCTCCTTTGGAAAACTCAGGGTTGATACTGCTTCTACAGGATTGTCGTGAGGATAAAAGGGACAGTACATGTAAAGTACTTACCGCAAGCTCAGATGTTATTAAAACACGTTAGCTCTTCTAAATACCAAAGGGCCCCAGGGCTGGAGGTGATCTTAGCGATCATCTCATGCAGCTGCTTTCAACCCCAACCCGCCCTCAGAATTTTTGGGTCAGCTCTTCAGAAATGCAGATGCATGGGCTTCACTTTCAGATTTGCTAAATCCTAAGTTCCAATGATCCATTGGTTTGGGAAACCGCTGATCTGATCCAACCAAAGGCTTTACAGACGCAGTACTGTTCAGTGGCAGAATAAGGTATAAAATCTGGTCTGAACGATAGTGTTTCTGGGAGGCCACTGTGACCAGAGTGAGGGCTGGATGCTCATGGAGAGCAGAGTCAATGACTCCTATGACTCATCAGAGACTTGTAGGTTTCCTGAAACTTTGGGGGAAAGTAATTTCATTTCTTGAACACCAAATGGATCAAACGGATCCAAACCAAGCATTTACTAGGGACGTAGCACAAAGTAGAGCCCTGAGGTCAAGACCCGCTCTGTCACTAAGTACCTATGTGACGTCAGACAAGTCAGTAAATTTCTCTAGGCTTCCGTTCCAACATGTAAATAATGGTGATTTCTGACCTAATTGCTTTAGGACATTTTAAATTTAAAGAGGATTCATACATGTGAAGGTATTTCAAATGGGAAATTGCTAGAGAAGTAGACTATTGCCACAATTCATTTAAAAAAAAATTTAACATTTATTTGTTGCTGAGGGACAGAGAGAGTCAGAGCATGAGCAGCAGAGGGGCAGGGAGAGAGGGAGACACAGAATCCGAAGCAGGCTCCAGCTCTGAGCTGTCAGCACAGAGCCCGATGAGGGGCTCGAACCTGAGATCATGACCTGAGCTGAAGTCGATGCTTAACCCACTGAGCCACCCAGGGGTCCCACCCCTATTCATTTTTATGTCATTCCAATGAGCCTCGAATTCCATCGTGGCTGGTGTATGAGATCAGTGCACGGATGTCGAATCGAGTTTGTGGGTTAAATAAGCTGAAAATGGAGACGATTTTAGTGTCGGGAAATGGTTTATCAATGTGGGGTGCTGAGCATCAGGGGGATTCACGAATGGAGAGAGGGCTGGGGGCGAGTTGATGGTGGCAATTTTCAGAACCACGGTGTCTTTCATGTCTCTTCTGTCCTGCTGTCTGGCCTCATCTGCATGTGGGGCCAGAGAGGACAAGGCCAGGAGCCCAGCTGGAGGGGCGAAGAGGAAGCTAGCCTGTGCTGTGCTGCCGCAGAGTCTATTTGGGCTGCCTCGGAGACCACAAACACGGCAGGGGCACGGATGCGAACAGGCTGTGACATCGCCACCAATGCCCTGGACACAGCAGTTTTCTGTTCTTGTTTGTAATAACAGAGTGAGTAGTTGTGCCAATAGAAACAGAGCATACTCACGAACAAGTCAAGATCTATCTATCAGCCTCTAGATCTATCCCCGACCCCGCTAGCCCTCTTCCGACGGCAGAAAAGCCTTCCAAGAGCATCTTTCTGAGGCTGTAGATAACGGGGTTCGGGAAGGGGGCAAGGATGACAAAAGTGATAGCAATTGCTGTGTCCCAAAATACGGAGTAGGTGGCTGAGGATCGCAGGTACATGACAGCGACACTGCCGAGAAACAGCAAGAACACAGCCAGGTGGGCGGCGCAGGTAGAAAAGGCCTTGCGGCGGCCCTCGGCCCAGGGCATCCCCAGAATCACCACGACGATCCGGATGTAGGATAGGGCGATGGCCAGGAAGGAAGCCACAATCTCCCCTGCATGGATGGCGTCCACAATGACCGCCGGGGACGTGTCCGTGCAGGCCAAGCTCAGCACGGGCGTAAAGTCGCAGAATATCTGCCGGATCTGGTTGGAGCCACAGAAAGGCAGGGTGGCAAGCCACACGATCTCGGGAAGCACAAGGAGGAAGCCACAGACGCAGGACCCAGCGGCCAGCTGGGTGCACAGCCTGGGAGTCATGATGGTCGCGTACCGGAGAGGCCTGCAGATGGCGACGTACCTGTCAATGGCCATGGCCGTCAGGACGCAGCCTTCTGTGATGCCCAGGGAGTGGAAGAAATACATCTGTAGGAGGCAGCCAGCCACAGAGATGGTCTTGTGCTCACTGATCAGGCTGGAGGGCATCTTGGGGATGGTGGTCGTGGGGTACCAGATCTCCAGGAAAGAGAGGACGCTGATGAAGAAATGCATGGGGGTGTGCAGGGCCCTGTCCAGCCGGACGACGATGAATATCATTAGGTTCCCAGTTACGATAAATCCGTAGGTGAGAAGCAGAAGAACGAAGAAGAGGACGCCACCATCAGGCAGACGTGGGAACACAGAGAAGAGGAACTCAGTCACCGTAGTCAAATTCCCACTGGTCACCAACTCCGTCATCTGCCAGCGGAAGAAAAGAGACAGAGAAACTCCTGAAATTGGCGTGGCGATCACACACCGGAAACAGCTCCGCTCCTTTCCGTGATCAAGTTACCTAAGTTGACTCGGGGACCCTAGACAGGATAGTTAGAAATATCTCTCAGCTGTAGAGATCTCTAACCTGCTAGAAATATCTGTAATCTTGGCTTTGGGACCCCTCAGTGCATCTTTTAAAAAAATTTTTGCAACGTTTCTTTATTTTTGAGGGAGAGATGGACAAAGCGCGAGTCGGGGAGGGGCAGAGAGAGGGAGACACGGAATCCGAAGCAGGTTCCAGGCTCCGAGCTGTCAGCACAGAGCCCGACGCGGGGCTCGAACTCACGAACCGCGAGATCATGACCTGAGCCGGAGTCGGACGCTCAACCAATTGAGCCACCGAGGTGCCCCTCAATACATCTTTTGTGAACATCTTCAGCGGATGCAAAGAAAACACAAAGCGACACACAAATGAATTCTCCAGAAATACTTGCTGGGGGCTCACTTTTTTAATTCCTTGGTTCTCCCCCTCACTCTCTGCCTCTCTGTGTTTAGCTTTAAAATGTGTACCTTTCTTTCCAACTATTCTCCACTCCTGTTCTTCACAGTGAGTTAAAAAAAAAAAAATACAGAGACACTGTCAGGAGCCCTTGTCTCAATAATTCATCACGCTGCTCTCCCATTTTTTCTGGCCCTGATCCCTAACGTGAGGTTGGCGGGCTGGTCATCTCCACTTCTGCTTTGTTTCTGTTTTGTTTCACGGTGACATCTGTTTCTCATTAGATGCCAAGTGCCCAGACGCCAGGAAATACCCCTGCTCACATCCCTCTCCTTCTCCCCTTTCTCTGCCTCTCTCAGTGCTTGATCCTGACAGTTCCTCAGACCAAGAGTCTCTCCAGAACCACCTTGCGCCTGACTATTTGCCACTGAATTTTGGGCAGGCATATAACTCCACTCCACACACCGCACACCTCCTAAGCCACATCAAAGAGCCAACAGGAAGGAAATCATTCCAAATAAAAAATCACTTCTAACGTAACTACGCCTGCCACAAAAACCAGCCGCAATGGAAATCAGGCCAGCATCTACCTGTTAGGGAGAAGGGCCAACTAGACTTTTTGTAAGGCTATTTAATGTTCGTGAGAGCAGGGTGCATTACCTCTCGCCTGGACTATTTGATTTTGTTTATTTTTTTAAAAAAAATTTTAATGTTTATTCCTTTTTGAGAGACAGAGCATGAGCAGGGGAGGGACAGAGAGAGGGAGAGAGAGAGAGAGAGAGAGAGAGAGAGAGAGACAGAATCCAAAGCAGGCTCCAGGCTCTGAGCTGTCAGCCCAGAGCCTGATGTGGGGCTCAAACCCAGGAATCGTGAGATCATGACCTGAGCTGAAGTCGGACGCTCAACTGACTGAGCCACCCAGCTGCCCCTACATTATTTCATTTCATTTATTTCTACCTGTGACAGAGAGATTATTATTGTGTTATAAGTAGAAAAGCTGAGAACTGAGAGGGGAGAAATAACTTGTTCAAATACACTTTTCGGGGATCCCAAACAGTTGCTAGGAGCCTGGTCTGTAGGCCTTAAAATTCCACGATTATTTTTTTGTTCCACAGTGGGGGATTTAGGTCCGGAGTCACCAGTCGTTCATTCTGTCTGCTTCGTACCCTGAGTACCTCTCTATCCTCAGGACTGTCCTGAGTTGTGAGATGAGAGCGTTGTTGGGTTTTGTTCTTTCAGGTCAAAAGCAGATGAAAATAAATGCATTGCAGGTTAGGAAAAGCCATTTATATAAAATGCCTCTCGCCTTCAGCCTCAAGCCTCGAAGAAGGCTTTGGAAGGGAGGAAGCTTCAGTGCTTAGCAGAAGGGCGGAGCCTGCATTGGGAGAGCTGTGAGATCTGAATGCTCTCTGACTGAAGCCGCCGCTTACTTCTCTGTCCTTTCTCAGCCGGAAGCAGCCAGACAATGGCCATGCTGAGTGGTCTTTATGGAGAACGTAGATGGACAAAGCGGGAGGCTACGGTGTTAGGAGAAAAGGGAAGCGAGTTCAGCACTAAGTGGCTCATAGCGGGCAAATAGAGTGAGGCCCTTCTCACTAGGAAGGCTGCACCATTGGTCACCGTTCAAACATTTATTCAGTTAACACTCACGTATTGACTGACCTTCCGCTACGTGCCGGTCGCTGCCGTCGGTTCGAGAGCTAGCTGCGGGTGAATACAACCGCTCTCCTCGATTCTGCGCTTCATTCTTTTGACCGTTTCGCTCATGTAATACAGTTCTAAAAATATGAAGTTTTACCCCAGACATTGAGGAAACTTTACCTTGGAAAACGAGGAGTTAAGGATACGAAGAAAGCAGTAGGCAGGCGCAGAAGGAGGGGAGGCGGGTTAGCAGTTAGATTGGAAAACTTCCTTTCAACAGTCCTTTGCACTCACCTTGCCTGAGACCACAATGACGTTCTTCAGAGTCTCTGCAGCTACCAGCCCCTGCCGATTGTCAGCAGAGGTAGTGATGTCTTAGAAGTCCCTTCGGGGAATTTCTAGAGAAAAAATCCTCTCCTGGGACTTTCTCTTTAGATGATGCAAGATCCGAAGGCAAGTGGTGTATTTGACTCTCCCCCTCTGAGGGATAAATTAAGGGGAAAGTGTCACATAATAATTAGAGATTCCCCAGGGTCGGGTCTCAAAGGCCTCCTTGTGGCCAAATCACCTTGTGTCGCACAGGGGAGTACAGAGCTGGGCCCTGGGGCTGGAGTAGTGGTGGGCGTCAGAACTGACCAGTCGGGGCCCTGCTTCTCTGGAAACACTCTCTCAGCTTTCGCCATGCTGTCCATTCCCTCTGCTGCTCTCAGAACAATGATGATAATACTAATGATGAATCACTTGGGTCATCAACAAAAATAAGGACCTGTAAAGGATGTGTCACACAAAGATGCAGTACTTTATAAAACTATGTTGGAAGATATCAAACACCCAAATAAATGGATTGATATGATGTATTAATGAATAGAATGTCTTGATTACAGAAACACGGCAATTCTACACAAATGAGTCCATTCCTTCAATGCAATTTCCACCAAAATTCCATTTGGGTAAGTGGAGTGGGGAACGTCAGGAGGAGGGACAAGACTAAGATATTTCAAAGGAGAAGATTAAAATGGTAAGGCCTGTCCTACTATGGATCAAAGGTTATAACAGCGACATAACAAGCAAATGGAAGCCAGGGAATAGACCGACGCAGTGTGGAGCTTTGACATATGGCAGAACAGAAACCACAGAGCAGAGTATGGGGGGAGGATGGGCAGAGATGCACAGTGGGTCTACAGAGTAAGGGCTGATTATTACTAAGTGGTGCGGGAATCTCGATTTAAACATACGAGAGACATAAAATAAAACTCATCCTAACATTACATTCCCATACAGCTACAGGTAGAATGAAGGTCTAATATGAGAAATCAACTTTAATGCTTTTTTTTAAAAGATTTTATTTTTAAGTAATCTCTACACCCAACATGGGGCTTGAACTCACAACCTTGGGATCAAGAGTCACATGCTCTACTGACTGAGCCAGCCAGGTGCCTCCCTTTGAAAACAATTTTTTTTTTAGTTTTAAAACTTTAATACTTAAAATGAAATTTGAGAGACTATTTTATTACTTCACATAGGGAAAAAATCTTAAGTCAATAGAAATATAAATTACAAAGGAAAAGATCATTAAATTCAGGTATATTAGTATTTCCATTTACCAAATGGTACCATTGAGAAAACAAAAAGACAAAGTTCCTGTTAGGAAGCTGTATTTGTAAATGATATAACTGACAACAGTATTTGTAAATAGCTCCTGCAAATTAAAAAGAAAATGATGTTTTTTTAAGTTTTTTAAATGTTTATTTATTTTTGAGAGGGAGAGAGAGACATAGTGTAAGCCAGGGAGGGGCAGAGAGAGAGGGAGACACAGAATCCGAAGCAGGATCCAGGCTCCGAGCTGTCAGCACAGAGCCGGTTGCGGGGCTGGAACCCATGAACGGCAAAATCACGGCCTGACCCAGAGTCAGGTTGCTCAACCGACTGAGCCACCCAGGGGCCCCTAAAAAGAAAATGATTTTAAAAACCAGGTGAATACATGCATATAATATACATGCAGATGCACACATATACACTCAACCTCACTGATAAGCAGGGAAATGCAAATCGAAAAAATAGTGCATTATTTATATGTACAACTGAACAGCAACAAATATGACCACACACAATGATGAACAGTAGTAGAAATCCATGCTTCATTGATGGAATACAGACGTTGGAAAACAATTTGGCCGTCTCTCACAGAGCTGAAGGCGTAAATGCTCGACAACACAAAATGTTCACACCTAACGAATGATTAATTTGTGTCCCATTAACACGAGATGGAAGTATGTATTTAGAGCTGCAGCCACATAGGTTGATATGAATGATTCTCAAAAATATGCTGAGTGAATAAGCAAGTTGCGCAATAACACCTAAAATATCATTCAATTTACACAGAGTTAAATAGACAAAACTAAACACTGTGTTGTCTTTGAATATCCACGCGCTTACAGGGTAACGAACACAACATCCAGGTTAACGGTGATATGCAGCATTTGAGGGTTTGGGGGCAAGGATCGGATTGAGGAGGGGCGTTTAGTGGACTTCAAAGTTATTAATAATGTTCTTTCTTACCTGGGGTCATAGGTTCGTGTGAATGAGAGGTAAAAATGTAAAGCAAAATGGACATAAGAAGGTAACCTACTCTCTAAAGAAAAGCAAGAAGGGGGAAATGAAGGCCATGCAATAGCCCAAAAGCAACCATAAATAGAGGCTGAGTATGTATTTTAAGATGAATGCATTTGAACATATTTATAAGTGGAAGGAGCAGACAACATAGAGAGGAAGCAGTGAGAAGATTCTTAAAATTAGTGAATTCACTCATTCATCCAATTATTTTTTTAACAATGTATCCATTCAT